CGCGTTTTGTTTGTATTCCCAGCATTATTTGTTTCACCTTCGTTATTTCGTTATTTTTTTTTGTTTGCTTCTTCAATCCTACCTCTGCTTCAACTCTCCTTTCCGACGGAGATCGAGATCTCTTCGCGATCGTCTTCATACTGTTATATTTATTGCGGTGATGCCCGATGCAATTCTCGTTTTTCCAACTCATTTGTATCACTGAATCACCGAACGCACCGACAAAGGAGGACACTTGTCCCACCAAAATTCAATTAGTCTGCAACCACACTTCATCAATCCCAAAGGCAGTGACCCACCGTAACTACTCGTACATATCAATTGGTCTTTACAAACAATGATTTTTTGTAATTTAATGAAATTTGTTGAAATGTAACTGTTCTAATGGTATTAAGTATATGTAAGTTAAAGTGATAATTGAAATTTGAAGCATTCAAAGTTGTTAAACTGGAAAATTCGTGAGACGCTTAAACAGTGATCTTAGATTACCAATTACCAGAAGCCCGGCATCCCGCGGTGATTCGGATTACGCAACGGATTGATTAATTAGCGGAGCGGAGCGACGGTTGAAATCGGGTCTGATTTAAGGGAGGTGCGAAGCGCAAATACTGCATTTAATTGGTACAAATGAGTGGCAGTGTCTGATCCAATATTGGATCGAGTTTTATGGATGCTTTGCGAAGCAGAACATTTGGTGAAAGGTACCTACTCCAAGCATTTTAGAATAAAGATCGGTTACAATAGTCCACCTCGAAGTAAGGCATGAATCATTCGTGTAATTAACACAAATCGAAATCCATAAATTGGTCTTGATCGTGAACTTAGGAGGCTATAGCCGTTCAAGTCGCGTCGCTCCAATTAATAATCAAATTTATTCTTTGCTAACGGCTGACTGGCAAGTCACACGTCCATGAATACAATAGAAATGGCTAATTCATGGCTGAACAAATAGAAGAGGAAAAGAAATAATGAAATAAATAAAAAAAAAATGACAATAATATAATAAGAAGAAGAATTGAGCGAGTAATTTCTACGAACACAGAATATATTTACGTTTGAACTTTGACCATCTAGCTTCCCTATGGTAAAATTGTATTATTTTATAAGAAATGATTATTTATATTTGTAAATTATTTTGATTTTAGAAATTTGTTATCAAAATTAAATCGATTTGATACAATATGTTTCTTATGATATATAAAAGAAAATGAACTTTTCGTATGACGTTGATATATTGCGTAAATTCACAAAGTGAAATAAACACGTGGAAATAAAAAAATATGTACTTTTCTTGACGCATTGTTTCATAAATGAAATATCACTTTGAAATTGATGATTGGTTAAAATTGAAATGGTTTATAGTTTTAAAAAAATAAAAATATATGTTACATATATGGAACTAGTTTAGCATTAATATTAGAATTCAGTGAACCATGTGTAATGTGATAACGAAATTCGCGTAACGAAGTCACGTCAATTCGACGTAACGAAGTATTACATGGACGTATTAAATTCATTTTGGTTTCGGGGTTGCGTCGTAGTTGAATTAGGTTCAATTACAATGGGATGGATGAGCAGGAGGAAGGAAAAGTTAATAACTTTTGTGGTCGATCCGTACGATTATGGAGGGTGGCGTATTTTATTTTTAATGAAAATAGTTGTAGCTGCGAACTTACCTGTTGTGAATAAAACGATGGCTTTGAGACAGGAATATTCAGCGGAGTCCACGTGCAGCGCTTTTAACTTCTCTACTTGTTCCTAAAACAATACGGAATGAGCTTTAGAATTTGGATGTTAACATCTGTATTCATCACGTTTTCATCCGCACTACATCACATCATTCACGCCGAATAGGTTTTGTTCTGATATTATGCGAGGGTGGTGGGGTGTACGGACTGTATCACCTAATACACGGCCATTATGCCGGCAGCGTTTAAATAATAATGCCGCGGTTTATTCACGAGCCACCGCAGTGATACGGGATATGGCTGTATGTATGGTCTATATTGTAGACCCCTATATGTTATGGGATGTATGTACCTGGAATATCCTTATGTGGTCCATGAATTGCACAACCCTATCGGCGCACATGGGCGATGCGTGGAGCCCGGCGGCGGCGATCAAGGGTGCCACGTGCAAGGGCATGGAGCACTGGCTTGCATTAAGGACGAACAGCTCGGACCAAACTAACCGCAGAAGAGCAACCTGAAACAATGTGAAAAGACGCAATTAATAAACTCGAAGTCCATTGTCCTCCTATCCTCTCCAATACGAGCATAAGCATCATCTCTGGTACATTACCTGATCGGTCACCTGCAGGTCTGGGAAGAAGGGTATGTTGCGCGCCCACTCTACAGCGGAGAAGAGCAGCCTAGCCGCCAGCTCGCAGATGTTCTCGATGCCCATCAGGTTGTTGGTCTGGATGCACTGTCCGTACCTGCTGGTCGGATAGGGTTCAGCCCTCAGCAGCAGCGAGATGTAGCTGCTCAGGTAGGTGTGATTGCTGAGCGACGTCGTCACTGAGTCCGTCGAGTTCAGGAATTGGTTGGGCAGGCCGGGAAGGGCAGGCTGCGAGGGCGGCACACGGCCCCTTTGGACGGCTGTAACAGAAAGAGAGAAAATCCAGATGATCAGAGACACCCCTTCGCTCGCATAGGCATGTTTACGACGGACGCGAAAGTAGCCTGTAATATGGCTTGAAGTGTGTCAAAACATAAAACTGCATTCCACCGCTCTAGACATTTATAATTTGCAGTGAGAACCTGTTTTTCAATTTGATTTCATGTCTTTTTAACTGCAAATTAACTCTGGATTAGCAGTAAAACACAAATACTTAAGGTGTCCCTTCGTATTCTTCTCCCCTCACGCGCAACCTACGCATCCCAATCCACACCAGTAACCTCTCACTCTCCATCTACTTCTTTTATTTGCACTCGTCTTCTACTTCTTATTCTTCTTCTTCTACAGCTACGCTCTCGGCTAATTGTCTGCGCGCGAGGAAAGTGATGCATTGTCTCCTACAATCCCACAGGGTATTCCCCCAAAAGTAAAAATAAACAACAACAGAAACAAACAAAATCCAATGTCGCGTTTCATCCTCCCCCATCCTCCACCGCAACGCCGTTTTCTTCGTTTCTATTTTTAATTAATACAAGCCTCGCGATGCAGTAAGTATACCTCGACCTCTCCGCCCGGTTGAGGTATAATGCACCATCAATCAAAGTTATGCTTGTCTAAGATCATTTATATGGGCCCTGACGTTTGAATTAACATTGATTGGTGTTCGACTTCTCCTCACTCGTTTCATCTTCTTCATCCTCCTTGCATCATATACTTCTTTTTTTTTTATTCTCATTCCCTTTCATATTTTTCTCCTTGCTTCATTTCCAATTTTTCATGACAAGTACATTATCGTTACGTTCGAAAAACAATTAATTGTCCCGTGACGCGCAAATGCAAATGAACGCAAAGTATATATTTATAAAAGATGCTCCAATCAACCGAGAAATAATAAATTATTAAACATATAAAGAAATGATAATCGAAGCCGATTTGACCCATGACCCATGAATAGAGTTGTGTATCCAGAGAGGAAGAAAGTAGCGAACGGGGTCGATATATCACCGAAATATAATCATAACAACAAACGGCGAATAAGTCGGACGAGTTTTTTGGAATGTAAAAGTTCTTTCGTTATACTCTCAAACACACACATTTAGTATATATATATATATGTGTGTGTGTATATTTTTATTATATGTTTATGCATGGAACTTGTATTATAATTCTGTACTGAGTTGCTATGCCGAGTGTGGCTATCGTGGGAAATGACCTTTGCTGACCCTGACCTCGAACCAAGACCAAGCGTACAGCGAGATGGGGCCATAATCAAATACCATAAAGAATGAAGTCATTCTAGTGTTGGTTTCCCTCAAAAAAAAAATATATACACACACTTACGGCGAGCACACTTCTTGGACTCGGCGAAAGTTGAGGCCCCGAAAAAATAATAAAACCAAAAAAGATAAAGAAAAAGAATGAGTATAAAAATAAGAATAAGTCGACAGGACGAGACGGAATCAACAAAACGCAAACAGCAAATCGGAAATGACAGTGCGAAAGGTCAGAAGGGAAACGGTAAGGTGGAGGAGGAGAGGATGGATCCGCCGGTGTCCGTGTGTTGTTCTTTATGTTCCATTGGTTGGACTGGTGATTACCCGTTTTTAGAGCTGAAATCGCCGATTTGTGATTAGCTCGGATAAACTTTTCCAGGCCTGTGACCTAAAAGTAGCGGCTCGCTTCGTCTTCTGAAGAATAAGAAGAGGCCAGACCATAGCAGACAATGTCCTCGCATAATTTACTCGAAACGTTGCTTTTTCTTGGGAAAAACTACGGAGCGCATCTTTCATATGGAATGGAGAGAAGAAGTTACATGTCAACTACACTACATTAATTTAATTACGGCCCTCTCCCCGATTCAGGGAATTACTTTCGTGTTCTTCTTTCCAACACAATACAAACGACTCCACTTCTTGTTACTTACTATTATATGTGTATACTTATATACACATTTCTACAGAGTTGATTTTTGTTTCAGTTCTTCATAATCAAAAAGGTCAACTTTAATAAAAAATCGAAATAAATAATCATGATCATCATGAAAAGCGAAGAATAACAAGGAGGCAATTAATTTATTGTCAACGCGAACAATTGCACAATTTTAGTATTAAACACACGTGAAAGCCGCGAAGGAAAATGGTACGAAATTCGTAATG